TTAACTAGTTTACCAATTAACTAGTTTTTATAGGAGAGTAATAAATGTAACAATTAACTACTATGATAAGAGATTAATAAATGTAACAAACTAACAATTAACTAGTTTTTATAGGAGATTAATAAATGCAACAATTAACTAGTTTAAGAAATAAACAATTAATTTCGAATTAACTAGTTTACCAATTAACTAGTTTTTATAGGAGAGTAATAAATGTAACAATTAACTACTATGATAAGAGATTAATAAATGCAACAAACTAACAATTAACTAGTTTTTATAGAAGATTAATAAATGCAACAATTAACTAGTTTAAGAAATAAACAATTAATTTCGAATTAACTAGTTTACCAATTAACTAGTTTTTATAGGAGAGTAATAAATGTAACAATTAACTACTATGATAAGAGATTAATAAATGTAACAAACTAACAATTAACTAGTTTTTATAGGAGATTAATAAATGCAACAATTAACTAGTTTAAGAATTAAACAATTAATTTCGAATTAACTAGTTTACCAATTAACTAGTTTTTATAGGAGATTAATAAATGTAACAATGAACTATTATGATAAGAGATTAATAAATGTAACAAACTAACTAATTTAACAATTAAATAATTAATTTCGAATTAACAACTAACTACTATGATAAGAGATTAATAAATGTAACAATTAACTACTATGATAGGAAATTAATAAATGTAACAATTAGATAATGAGTGTATAAGTAGATATACTTAATATATATATATATATATATATATATATATATATATATAAGTAGATAATAAGTAGATTAACTAGTAATATATAATATTATGTTTATAGTATATATAATATAAGTATATTACTATAAGATTAGTAATACACTTATATATAATACTTTAATATATATAAGTATATATTAAGTATATCTAAAATGTAAATATAAGTAAATAAATTAGAGATGATTATATATGTAAATATAATATAATATATGCAGTTATAAATTTGAGAAGATGAAGATGGAGAAGATTAGTAGAGAATAGAGATTAGAGAGTAGGAATATTTGGAGAAGATGTGTAGTAAATTGTATAGAAAAAAGGGAGTATTTATAGTTTTTTTGTACCCCTACCACCCCCCACCCCCCTAACCCACCCCTGGACCCCAGGAAGGCTCCCAACGGCTATATAGCCGTTTGGGTTCAATCACAACGGCTCTAAGGGCCTGTTTGGTAGCCAAAAGAAAAAACATTAAAAAAATAGCCGTTGGCCCGAACCGGCCGGGCCGGGCCTTCATTTTTGTGAACCGTGCCCGAACCGCTAGCCTCCCCCGGGATGGGTAAAAGCCCGCACCGCCCAATCCGTAACCGGGCCGGGCCGGGCCCGCACAGTGGCAGGCCGAGCCGGTTCAGGGCCGGGCCGACCCGGTTTGGTCCATCCCTAACCCCATGTGACCTGTAAATTAACCCAAACATGAATGTCATTCAAGTAAATAATACATGTGGCTACAATGATTGTATATCACATGGTGCTGACTAGGGGTGAACAAAAAAACCGAAAAACCGAAACCGACCGACAAACCGACCGAAACCGAACCGACCAAAACCGAAACCGACTCAAACTGAAACCGACTCAAACCGACTAATCATTGACGGTTCGGTTTGCGGTTTCACCTTTTGGAGTTAAAAAACCGACCGAACCGAAACCGACCGACAAAACCGACAAAAAACATGCTAAAACCGATCGAAACCGACCAAACCGACCGCAAATAACCGAACCGAAACTGACTCAAGTATTGCGGTTCGGTTTTCGGTTTCACCTTTTCAAAAACCCAAACCGACCAAACCGAACTGACCAAACCGAAAACCGTCCAAACCAAACCGACGAACACCCATAGTGCTGACAAAGTAAGCCATAAAGGTTGTTGTCCAAAAGCCATTATGCAGACTAGCTGTTCAATACAACATTCAGTTTCAACCATACAAATAGTATATGTCATGAACCAAAACAGGTCATCTGACCACACATACGGGCAAGGACATACACTTAAACCCCATGCATAACACCAAGGGACCCTAAAACCAACTTGTAACACCGCCCCCGAGTATTTGTACTGTACCAAATTATGTATTGAACCTTGAGAAATGTATAAAAGCATTTTTTACGTGATTGTAAATTTTATCATTTCTATTACGTGAATAGTAAAATTCACGTGGGGCCCACACCGGATGTGGGGCCGCCCAATATTATCGGGACCACATATTATATTAATCTTGGACTAGATAATATGTATATGGTGGTGGATATCCTAATTGGGCCATGACAATGGCACAAGGGTGACCGGTTGGTCAAACGGGCTAAATTATCGATATCGGCAATTTATCAGATAACAGCCCAAAAAGGGATTCCGAGAACCTATAAATTAAAGTTGGGGATTTCATAATGATTCTAAGGCCCAATAAGGATTGGGAACGAGTGTTATATTTTATTTGACCCAATAAAATAAAATATACTTAAAACAGTCCGGAAAATACAACTTTCAGGACCGATTCTACACTTAGGGACATAAAGGGATGACCTCCCACATGAGTGGGGGCCACCCCACGGATTTTAGTGCTGCAGATGTCAAGGGAGCCGCACAAAGAGAAGGGAGAGGGGAAAGAGAAGGGGTTGAGGGGAAAGGCATTAAATGGAGTAGGGCCTCCCACATGCCATGATTGTGAGAAATGCCAAGAAGGCATTCTCAATCATACCAACCCACCCCATTTCGTATCAAGCATCAACCAAGTGAGAGGAGCTCTGCAAATAAACCATTTTCATCCATCATACACGCACCAAGTTAAGGGAGGAAGAAGAAAGGGAAAAGAGAAGAGAAAAGAGGAGTTTAGGTGGGAAAACTTGTGTTTAACAAGGTAATGACTCCATTACTCCTATTTCTTGTTCTTCAATACTCTTTTATGATTATTCAATCATATTTCACACCCTAGTAATGTTCTACACGTTGGGATGTGTAGAAAGAGGGGTTGGAAGGTAGTTCTAAGTCCAAGAACGGACTTAGAAGCCAAAGTGACCGGTTCGCCGGAAAATAACCTTTTTGAGGTTATTTGTATTACTATGGGTTTTATGATGATAAAACCTTGTTAGTAACTTGTCTAAGGTATTCAAGGAACTTTCACGGAGTTGAAAAGGTCGCCGGAGTTGTCGCCGGAGTTCGTTGAAGTTCGCCGGAGTTTCGTCGGAGCTAAATCGGGGAGGCTAGAACTTCATAAGCTTCATTAAGGTGAGAAGACGGCTTTATGCTTTATAACTTTTGCGTGAGGCATGAGATTACCTAAAGTAATCAGGAATATGTTTTGTGGAATGATTAAAGATAACCAAGTGTGTGTTTATGCCATGATTATACACAAAACATAGTTAAAAAGCATGTTATGTAGGTTTGGTGATTAAAAATGTGATAACATATTTTGTGTGATGATCCAGGGATCCAAAATGGTATTTTTGGATCAAGGACATCAAGAAGTATATGTATAAAATTTCAAGTTAATCGGACTCCGTTTGGGGGGTCAAAAGGGGCGTTGACCGCCAAGTCAACTGCCATACCCGATCGGGTATTGACACATACCCGACCGGGTATTTGTTGAAAATCAGCTTTGTGGACTACTGTCTCCTGTACTCGACCGAGTATGGGTTAATACTCGATCGAGTATTGGGTTATGCTCAAAACGGGCAGTTTTGAGTAGGTTAACGTGGGCCGTTCGGGTGGGACCCGCCCACGTTGGATCCTAAGGATTGTTATATGACTATAGGGCTAGGAATTGTCCATAGTTAAAGGAATGAAAGGTTAGCCATATCCAGGTTAGGATTTGGTAGAGAATAGACTGGGGATTGAGTGCCCTTGGACGGTAAATGATCCAGAATACTCCAGGTGGGGTCGAGTACCCTTGGACGGTAAATGATCCAGAATACTCCAGGTGGGGTCGAGTACCCTTGGACGGTAAATGATCCAGAATACTCCAGGTGGGCTCGAGTACCCTTGGACGGTAAATGATCCAGAATACTCCAGGTGGGGTCGAGTACCCTTGGACGGTAAATGATCCAGAATACTCCAGGTGGGGCCGAGTACCCTTGGATGGTAAATGATCTTAAATACTCCAGGATGGGTTGAGTGCCTTGGACGGTAAATGATCCTAAAACACTCGGTAGTATGAATCGAAGGTAGACTATAGCTTGTGAGCTAGGTAACCGGGAAAGGAGTGAGAAAAGTCAGGCAAGAACTTTATCTCTAAAAGACTCTTTAAGGTAAATGACCTACGGGTTGAGTATTTTACGAGTATATATACAGTATGTATCATCGGGTGGATGAGGGACATCTATATGTATATATCACCCTATTTTTGGGTCTCGTGTCTGAAACATTAGTTATTCTTCATATAGCCTGCTTGTCACTAGTACTTCTATGGAGTACTGACCCCTCCGGGGGCCCTCACATTTTTCAGGTTGAGGCTAGAGTCCTACTACCTGCACCTTTGCCTAGGGTGACTGATCGAGAAGGGAGACGTGGTTCGTGCTTCCATTCTTATTTCAAATGTATAAACCGCTCATGGATTTTTGAACAATATTTTCATTAAAACAGTTGGGGGCCTGCGTGCCCGTGTTTGCCACGTGTGGCTAAGTATCAAACATTTTATTATTTTCCGCATTTGATTGATTATGATATTGATGTTGATTGTATGTGTTTACTAATCGGTTTGGCAATAGAATAAATCGGACGCCTTGTACAACTCAATAGGGATGAACTGTTGTTGTTCTTATCGGGTTGTACGGCGGTTGTCTACGTGGCTCGGATGCGGTCCGGGGCGTGACACAACATACACTTAAATCCATACTTCAAACCAACATAAGTTTTACACATTCATAAATTCAAGCAAAATAAGAAGTTCCATTGTTCCACCAAAAGCCTACTTCCACACAAGTTCATGATAGCATACACAATCTTCAACCCCAACACCATCCTCATCTTCACACAACACCCTTCTTCCTTCATCCAAGCAGAGTCTCTCCAGGCTGGCCAGGCTGCAGTTAACAAAGTAGTTGAAATCAGAAAGGTGGATCAGTTAACAAAGCATTATGCTCACATATGCAAATACAATACATTTGTGGAGTTCACTTACTTCCAATATGGTTTCACCCGTAGCTTCATAAAAAAAACTCCAAAGCCAGATTGCTCTCTGCTTCTACTATTCCCCTTCTTACCCCTGCATCCTCTAGGCCTTCTTCCTGTTGCACCTGCACCCACAATACCAGCACCTGCAGGAGTTGATGTGCTAGGAGTTGCCTCCATACCTACCCCATCTGTTGCTGTGCAAGATTTCATATTATGTCCTTCTCCTTTGCATTTTGAACATGTCATGATGCGTCCTATTCTTGGTAGTTGTGAGCCAGTAGGTGGACGTGGCTCTGTTTCTTCGCTTACTCGCTTTTTCTTAGGTCTGCCACTCATTTTCTTAGGCAAAGGAGGTAATATCTCTTCAAATTGAGTTCTTGGCCATAACAACTCCCCATTTATTGGATGCAATGTGTATGAGTACGTTTTCTTGTATACCTCCTTACTGTAGCACCAATCTACATATGACTCAGCTTCCTCCTCTTTGTCATAGATTGCACAAATTGCATGAGCACAAGGGATGCCACACATGAAAGAAAAGTTGTTAAAATATTATGCCTACATTCCGCCTATTTATTCTATTGCTTTCTGTCTTGATTCTCGTTTCAAACTTTCAAATTATAAAACATTTTTAGAATACTATTATACTGCTTTCTACGCTCCATTCCCTATGTACGAAGGCACACCTATAGATTCTCAAGCCCAATTCAATGAGGTTAGGAATCTATTTCACGCTTTATTTAATGAGTTCCATGCCCAATATTGTAATGCACCCCTCTCCCAACACCGAGTGCTTCCTTATCTAAAGGAAGATGTTTTTTTAAATCGACAATATCTACTCTTTTGAAAAAAAGTAAATCAACTTCTGTTGTTGCACAAAGCTCGATTAACGAGCTCTCTTTATATTAACGTTTCTTGTTAAGTTTAATGAAGTGGAGGACTTTGATATTCTTCAATGGTGGAAGATCCACGAAGGGATGTTTCCGATTTTATCAAAAATGGCCAAACAAGTGTTGTCGGTGTCGGTTTCAACTGTTGTCATGAAACAAGAGTTTAGCAAAGCCGGTAACATTTTGACTAACTATAGAACAAGGTTCAACGCTTCATCTCTCGAGACACTCGTTTGCTTCCATGATTGGTTCGAGGCCCGTCATAGAACACAAAAAGTCAACATAGCACCAGACCACCATTTAATGGAAGAAACGACAACCGACGCCGGAAGCGGCTCCGACAATTAGTTCATGTATTGTAATTTTCAACTTTAAAGTATTCTCAATTGTAATTTTCAAATGTGATATTGATACAAGTGACAATGTAGTGTTTAAAATAAATATACATCATTTATTTATTCTCCAATAAAAAAAATATTAAGGACCAGACCGAACCGAGATCGAACCGGCCAGGTAGGCCTGACCAGGCCCACCCCTAGATTTAACGGAACAAACAATACCAAACTGAATTAAACCGAACCACATGCAATTAGATTTGAGTTTGGTCGCATTTCTTCCGTACCGTATTAAACTGAATCCAACTGAAATCAAGAAAGCCAAATCCAAACCGAAATAAGATACCTCATTCTCATTTAGGTTGTCCCAAAGTTTGGGACCCAAACTAAACTTTTCTTTTTATTTTCTTCAACAACTTTGCATCTCGTGGTCTTACCCGTGTTTTTCGTTCAAGTATAAAATACTTTTTCTTACTATTACAGAATAAGAGATTAACCCATCAACCCAGAGTAAGCAAGGCCATAATGGATTGAATTGTCTTGAATGAAAAAAAGGACAAGTTAAAGCAGTAAAATATGCTCCTAGCTCTCGCCTCTTGGAGTAAAAAAAATTAGTTGGTGAATAGAGCACTTTTTTAAAGTCATTGTAAGAGCTGTTCACAGCACCAACTCGCTGCACTTGTTTTTGCAAATAAGAGAAAATGACCATCAATCCAACTGCAACAAAATAAAGAACAGGTAGGAAGACAATGGAGATGTTCAGACTAAGATCTACCCAGAGTTCTCTCTCATACTGATGACTCAAACTAGCTGCAATAGAAACACGCACTCTTGTCTGGATGGAGATAGCAAGCAACGGTGCACCCCTCCCTTTGTAAGTTCACTACAAACCAATGAATAAAAAACATGCAACAATTAATCAGTAAAGAATGTCTATACATATGATGGTGCATTCAGATGGTGCATTTTTCTAGTTTTTTGACAATGGTGCACCATCCACATGAGAATGGAGGAAACAGAAAAGAAAAAGGAAAAACAGTGCTACAATTAATTAATACTGTCTGGCCCTAAATTAACTTCATACTACCCTTTTCTGTCCATAGCAAAATTATTAGAATATAGTAAACATAAAAAGCCTGTTCTGGTAGGAATCAATGCTCTATGTCCCTAATTTAACTTCATACTATCCTTTTTCATCCTTGCAAAATATCTCTCTCATTTCCATCTGAGGAAATCATTATAGGACGTATATTATTTTCCCTTCTAAACAATTATCAGCCATTTTATCAATCTTTGTGCACGTTCAAAGTAGGAGCAATTAATAATCGACATGGCAATCAATCCCCCATAAGCCATTTGAAATGAGCAAAGCAACAGCCAAACACACATTACCGCCGATTCAGATTACTGATATGTCATGCCATCTAATCCAACAAATAAATAGCAAGTCAAAAGAAGTTTAAGACAAACTTCAGTTTCATCTATGGAATAAAGAAAAAAATTATTTTGATATCAGAACAACTTTAGTTCAAAGAACAATTCAGATCTACAAAATGTCACAGGCTAATAAACCCAAACACAATCAAGTATCGCATATACCGTAAAACACAACCTGACACAATATAACATTACAGTCAAATAGCCTTCTTACAAGCTATAAATTGCAAGTCGCGATGGACATATTCTTTTGGTATCCCAGAAAAGATGTTACATGGAACCTTAAACAGGGCATTACTGCTCATGAAATATGGTCACTATACTTAATAGCAGGACTAAAAAATACAAGGTACTCAAGGTTACTTTGCTCAACTGCATTTAGAATAAAAAAACATCTTAATTGTCACAGCAAGTGTGAAACGACAATTGAGGAATGAATTGTAAGGTGTGAAATATGTTTTCTTTTATAACTACCAAGAGAAAACGCATCTAAATATCTAATATCAAAAGTTGTGCCTAAAAACATGAAAGAAAATAGAGGAAAGCATTCAGCAAGCAAAGTCAACCTAGATAAAAATATTAGTTGGGGCTAAGATATAAGGGGGAGTTTGAATCTACTTCTTAAAATTGTCTCTGCTCCCTAAGTGAGCAGAAGTAGATTTTGGAGTGTTTGGGTGAAAGTGAAGAAGTACTTCTAAGTACTCCAAATTGCTCTTAGAAGCAGTTTTTAGAAGTTGGGGGAGACCAGCTTTCTGAAAGATTGATTTTGAATTCTACTTCTACCTTTAAAAAAGAAACAGAATCAATTCCAAACAACCCTAAGAATAGCACCAATCGAGGAATGAATTGGTTTAATACTATGCAAATAGTATTAAAAAATAGGTGCTAGAATAGCACCAATTAGGGTTTATTAGGGTTTAATACTATACAATCCGAAAAATACTATTAAAAATGGTATTTTTAATAAATCTAGCAAATCACAAGTTTAGGGTTTAATACTATGCAAATACTATGCAGTGCTAGAATAGATCTTTTAAATGTTAATTATATGACATAATTTAAGAGGCCACAACTAACATCCTCAGTAAAGTAAAAAGATAATACAAAAGGTATGTTGAGAATTAAGATATTAAAACTAAGGGCATGCCTACCACCCCCATCCCCTTCTAAAAAGCATATCAGGGTCATAAATCTACATGGAAATTGTAGGAAAAGAAAAACTACGCTGCATATAATTTGGGTCTTATGAGAAAGAATCCCAAGCACACTGATGTTCTCATATTGTATAGAAAACCCAATATATGGCCCATTGAACTAATGGATGACTAATGTCCTAAAAGTGGTTACACCTTACAAGAGCTTCTTGTTTTAGCCAAGACAGGACAATCAACGTCCATTAGTTCAATAGGCCATATGTTGGTTTTTCTTTACAATATGAGAACAAAAATAGTGTTAGAACTCTATGTACAGTTGAATTCCACATCAGTTTCCAACACTAGCTTTTTTCACTATTGAACCTCTACTTTAAAATCAACCGTATTTGGTCTAGAAACTAAATTGGCAATCTTGAGACTAGCAACGTTTTCATTAGCCCGACGACGAAATTTGGATTAATACTCGAGAACCAACAATCGATAAGACAAAGACACACTTATGTATACCCAATCAGCACACAAAAGCAATTTAGAAAAATCTTTTAAACTATTCAGAGGTTCAAAATGTGCATTCTCTAGGATATAAAGATTACTTTGAAGGTAAAGTTTGAAATCGCAGAGATAAACAATACAATCAAAGCATACAATGTGTAAATAGGACTACTTAGGAAGTAAGTTTGTGATTAAGAACGAGCAAGGGTAGTATACAGGGGAAAATAGGCAACTTAACATTCAATGGGGGTATTTACAAGAGAATACATTGAGGAAATGTGTTTCACATGTCAATCCTGAAATAAAGCGTGTGAGAAAAGTGGGACTGAGTTTTTAAAAATATTTTACTATATATCATAGAAATATAAAATATCACCAATGATAAATATCGAAAACAGTTATAAAAACATGCTGACTGTAATGGGCTGAGTCATCCCAAATAAGCAAAACAAAAGTAACTACATAGACTTGTTCAAGCTGCGAGTTCAACCTTTTTGTGCCACACAGATGCTGCAGTAAAACATTATCACACCCAATGGAAAAGCAATTAGTGCAACATTGACACATAAAAATAAAAAAGAAGATTAAAGATGGTGATGGGGTGATCTCAATTGCTTAGAGCCTACGATTTTGAGCATGATTTAAGTCAGGCAGGTCAAAGTACATTGTGAAAACCCTCCAACAAAGGTATATACCAATGCCATACATGGCATTGGAAAATGAAATCAATTATTATGACTTAAAAGTTCATACAATTTGGTAGAGTGGAGGTAGGTACCTCCCCTTCCTACATTGACTATTAAGAGGTACATGGATTTGTTAAGAACATCTCAGAACGTCTCAGAGGTAGATAGTAAACTTATACAGAGGAAATGTAATTAACAGAGGAAAAGACGCAAGACAAGTTTAGTCAATTAAAATGACTTCTCTATACAAAATAAAAATACTTATCCAAGATAAAAGGGTTACATCTGCCTTGATCTATAAATAGTGAAATGCGTGCAACTTAAATAACTAACTTATTTTCTTTCATCTCAATCTATTCAAATCCTATGTGACCAATTTATACAAAAAAAAGACTGAAACACGACTCAGTATTAAGAAAGCATACCAAATATTTTTTTATAATTCAGAAAGTAAGAAACTCGTTACCTGCTCAACGGCTGAGCCCAAGAAGCAAATTATTGTTTTTAGGTAAGTACTGGATATTAGGACTCTTAGCCAGGGTTGATGCAATCTCCTTAGAGGCCTCAATCCTTCTAAGCTCTATTAACCCTGAGCCAGCTGCAGCAGTAGCATCTGAAATCAACTTTGCAGACTCACTCTCACCCTCAGCACGAACAATGGCAGCCCTGCGCTCCTGCTCAGCCTTCATCACAATGAATTTAGACCGCTCAGCTTCCTGTTGTGCCACCTGCTTCTGCTCTACGGCCTTTGAGAACTCCGGGCCATATGACAAGTGGGTTATGGCAACATCATCCAATTCAATGTTGAAGTCTTTGGCCCTGCGGATTAAGCTCTCTCTGACCAAAGCAGAAACCTGGGGACGTTCAGTGAGCAGCTGGTCCGCATTGAACTGCGCGACCACCGCTTTTAAAACCTCGTTTCCAATGGAAGGGAGAACCTTCTCGTCGTACTCAAGGCCTAGAGTTTTGAAAATTTCAGAAAGGCGAGAGACCTCAGGGCGAGAGAGAACCCGTAGGGTAAGGTTCACCATTTGCAAATCCTTGGTTCCTGAGACAGATGAGAATGTGTGGGGCCTAGTGCGTATATCAAAGATGAACGGCTTCTGAAGCCAGGGTACAAGAAAGTGAGTCCCCTCGCCGACGGTCTGGTCGATCACTCCACGAAATCGATCAAAAAGCACGGCACGTTGGCCGCCGTCGACAGTGTACATCGAAGAGTTGAGAACCGTGGCACCTACTCCGAGACTGAAGGCGGCGCGGGCAATGTTTGTGAGGAATGAAACAGCTTGCTGGCTACCCATGGTAGTTGATAAAGAAAGGGAGAATCGGAGATTTAGCTAGGGTTTTAGGGATGCAACTAGGAGATGGAGAAGAGAGCTGTCGTATAAAACCAACTCTAAAACGATGGAAAAGAAGGATGAATTTCTCTCCAAGAAATGAATGAATGGAGAATTGTATTTTGGACCCTATCCTTCAAGATTAAAACCAGTTTTGCCCCGTTAGGGAGGTTTTTTTTTTAATGTGTAAAAAGGGCATCAATCAAGGCAATCAAGCTAGCTAGGGTTCAAACCGGAAAACGAGACAGAGAAAATAGCAAATTATACCGTGGGATCGGTGCATCTTGAGCACGGTGCACCAATGGAAAAACGGTACCGTTTTATATTATAAAAAAAGGGAAAAATATGAGAGTATGACTAAAACACCTCTAGTTTTCCATAATATGACTAAAAAAGTTAATTAATGGTTATATGACTAGCAAGCATTATACATGGTTGCCGTATGCTTATAATTGGATACCAAATGACTACAATGCCCTCAATTACTTATCTTAACAAATGGAATTCTGCAATAGTATACCAAAGAAGCAGGGGCGATTTGTGATAGTAGGATACATTTGAAGAAAGCAAGGATGCCATGGTGGCGAATGAGTGAATGACGATGACAAACAAATTGACTTTGTCGGTGCTAGATTCAACATTTATTGCAATAGAGAAGCAGAAGGACGAGGACATGCAAAAATGGAGTATGAATCGGAAAAGGTTAATTTATTTTAGTCTGTGCAAAGAGTAGCGTTCCATGCATTTGTAGTTGCAGGAGGAGTTTGAACACAAAGCCAAAGTGAGAAGATAATTTTAGGGCATTATTAAGCATTATGTTTGTAGTGTTAGACATTAAATAATTGGGCAATATAATAGTGTGTGAGAGGGGCAATAAGTTAGGTAAGGAAGAACTTGAACATTACAGACAAGATATATGCAGGAAGAAATGCTAAAAATGAGGGCATTAAGGTGTTCTAGATATACTTTGAGCAGTATAAAATTATGTGAACTTAGAAAGAGTGTGGGGGAGCAATAAATTAGGTTACGAAGATACTTGGACATCAAAAATAAGATGTAGGCAGTAATTATGTGAACTGAAGATCAGAAATTTTAAAAATGAGGGCATTAAGGTGTTCTAGGAATACTTTAGGTAGTATAAACATTATACTCGGCATAATTGAAAAAATATTAAAAAAAAAATGCTACGGTTAACATAATTGAGATAATCCCTATTTTTAGGCTTAGTGGTTAATACTTACCCGGTATGTAATCCTCACAATAACTGAACGTATAAACTAATTCTATATTTTCAGGAATAGTTTTTAAAACACTCTATTTCATGTGCCGTTTCTCTTAATTGTGCATATCAATTCCGCATTAATAGGGAGAATTACACACTTCCTATATTTAATATAGAGGGCAGCGGTTGGAAAGAAAAAAAAATTAAAAATCATGCACGGCATTAATGTATTATTATTGGAATAATAACTAGTGTAGTCATATAATGGGAAAGACATGTAGTTTCAGTCACATGAGTGATAATTTTCTCTATAAAAAAACTAATCCCTCTCATGAATCGTTCCTTTCCCATTGAGCTTCGCCCTACTCCAGATCTCGGTACCAGAAGCTCCGCCCTACTCCAGATCTCGGTACCAGAAGCACCGCCATTGCCCCACTGCGCAGGCCATCGCACATGGGAGTGAGATTCCGTCGGAAATCGTTAGTCTCACGCAGCCATCAATTCTCCAGTCTGGTCGCAGCTCTATCGTCGTTAAGGAAAGAAGTATCCACTCCTTCGTCTTTGGTGCAATTATATGCCCAAATTGGTTGTACTGATGTAGCAATTAGGCCGATTGAAGAAAATTGTCTGTCATATCCGGCTATGCATCGTTTCTCACTTTCTGAATATTGCAGACTTGTTGTGTTAATGTTTTTCTTCAAAAATTGAATGGTGTGGTACTGAGAAGAACAATAAACATTAACAATTTGGATGTGGAGTGTGTATTGTGGGCAAAATTTAAAGACTTCCCTAGTCAATGTTTGTTGCAATTACATATATTTTATATGGAGTATTAGACAACTTACATTTTGATCTGTCTTAAGTTACATGTCTATACACACGATTTACATTTCAATATGCCTTAGGTTACATTTCCTTTAACTCAACTTACCTTAGAACTTGCACCAAATTACATTTTAATTAATGAATTTTACATTTTGATTTACCTTAGCAAGTTACATTTCAATTAGCACGTTTACATCTCAACTTGCTTGAAGTTACATTTGAATATACACAATTTACATTTCGTATAAGATAAGCGAGGGAATAAACATTGCAGGGAGTAAAGTTACATTCCAGCGCATTAGTTACATTTACCAATAACTAGGATCACATTTCTAAGAACGTGAGTTACATTTCAATACACAAGATTTACATCAAGAAAAATACTAAGACAAAACATATAGTTACTGTTCATCCGCGTTTTTAAGTTAAATATTTAAATTAAATCAGGTTTTTTTACTAATAGGAGTATGATGCTCACCGTGAGATGCTCCCACGGTATAGCTACTGGAGAAAATTGAAATCGTAGTGAACTGGAATGCTAAATCTTTATACTACGTATCATATAAAGAAATTGGATGGACAATTGAATTTTTCCAATTATTCTCACCTATTCCCACATTGAATAAGTTTTCAAATCATAACATTAAATTAAGTTATTTATTATACGTAGTATATGGTAAGCAATGCATACTAAAGGAAATGCTTGAATGTGAGATGATTGACCAATGCATGAGACTCAAATGAACAAAGTATAACTTTTTACTCAAATTGAGCTACAATAACTTAGTATATCCATTTTATAATAATACAATCAAAACAAGCATACAATCCAATCTACTACAAGAAATTTGACTTTTTGTGATGAACAATTTTCGACCAACGCTAAATTTACTCGAATTATAATGAAGATATGCGTTTTATGGACCATATATATTGTCGTACCACATGTATGCGATCACAAGGGTAAACACACATAAAATTTGAACAATTTAAGGAGTCCATTATCAACGACCATAATTACTTGAATCCAATTACAATTCTAGAGAATTATTCAAATTTTTAATTACGTACATAGAATACCTCATCTTTACAATTTATAGATTCAATGGATATGATGGAGTATATGGCCCAGGGACCCCCGACCAACATACTACCACTATTGCATTTAGGCCCAACAGGCCCAAAATGGGCCAAGTCCAGCAAAATGAAGCTCTAAGCAGCCCGCGATACGCATATGGGGTGCCTTCGGCGCCATGGCCGAAGGCTACCGTTTACGGATTCGAGCCCAGAAACATCACAGGAGAACAAGGCTTGAAAACCAAGCCTTCGGCAATTGGAGCCCTCGGCACTATGAGGCCCCCGGTACGCAGAGCCTTCGGACTGTCATCTACAGCCGAAGGCATCCTCCTCGACAGAATCTCCCATCCACATGCGCTGGATCAACGTACCAAGTACAAACGTCGCATCCAACTACCGCATTTAATGCGGCCACATGCGAGTGCCAGCGCCACCCCGGTTGAGGTGACCCCTCGACCACCAGAATGCTGACACGTATCCCTATCTAGCATTTATTGTTGTTATAAATAGCAGCTCATTTCCCCATTGTAAGACACAACTTGAATACTCATTCTATATTCGAACTCTTTATCTCTCTTACCTATTTGCTCTGACTTCTCTCTAAGTCACTCCCCGCAATAACCCCTCAGATAAGCTACCCCCCGGGTACACTATCCATCATTTGGTGCTCTCGTTGAGAGGGTCGAACAATCAAGTAAGAAACCCTCCCCTTCAGCTCAAAACACCTACCAAAATGGGAAGAACCACTCATGCTCAGTCCAAGAACCTTGAGGACAACAACCTGGCCCTCGGTGAAGTCAACGCCCCCGGAGCATCCAACAAGGCTCCCGAGGGCGGGGTCATCACTGAGTTGGAACAGGCTGCTGTTGACCTGCGCCTTCAGCTTCAGCAGAATGCTCCTGATGCCCGTCTTGGCATCGAAACCCGAAGGAGGGACTGGAGTGAGAATCAAGTGAGCCCTCCGGTTCTCACCATTGACGTGCAATCGGCATTCTCCGCCTTCATCCAAACACTCACCCAAAACCCAGGTGCCTTCAGCACTCTGGTGCCACTTCAACCGCAGGTCGGGGAGAACGCTATGCCTCTCCCGCATCCACCCCCCCTTCGTGAACCCTACCCCTCGGGTTGGCAACGACGAAGGGGTCGTGGATCAAGACACCACCTCCCAGGAAGTCCAATCCCGGGATCGCCATGGCGCAAACAAGGAAAGGCCCAGGTCCTCCGCCCTCGAACAGCTCGGAGGGGCGCAAGACCGCCGAGGGGTCCAAGACCGCCTCGACGGAAAGGCGTCCCGAAGACCCCAAGAGAGCGGGGGATCCGTTTCAAGGGAAAACGAGAGGCGTCCCCCTCAGGACAAAGGAAAGGCGCCACTACATGCCGATAATGCCAGACACCAAATCAACCGGGCCCATTCAGCCCGTGTCCAATCGCAGGGGGCGGAGGCCCTCCCAAAGGATCACCGGGATGAAATAATTGAGGCCCTCCAACGCCGCCTTGATGAGATGGAGGCCCGCCAAGCGCACACTCTAGCTTCCACCTCACAGGCGGACCCCAAATACACCACCATGCTAGCAAAGATGGAGGAGATGCAAAGAAAATTTGCTGAAGGCTCCGGGGAACCTGTCATCCAACTCCGAACTCGGACGCCATTTACCCCAAGGGTATTGGCAGCCCAGATTCCGGGGAAGTACCGATGGCAACCCATCAAGCCCTATGAAGGAAAAACTGACCCCCAAGAGCACTACAACAGGTATCAAAACAGCATGATGATGATGGGGGCATCAGATGAATATTTATGCCGTTGGTTCCTTTCCACCTTGGAGGGACTGGCATATGAATGGTTCAACCGGTTGCCCGAGGGCAGCATTGACTCTTGGAAAGAACTAGCCCAACGCTTCTTGACACAATTTGCGGGAAGGCACCGGTCCAAGAAGCACTTCTTCCATCTACTCAAAGTAAGGCAACAAAAGGAGGAGACCCTTAGGGATTTCCTTGAGCGCTGGAGGCTAGAGACAGACAAGGTTGACGGCGCCGACGATAGGACCCTCCTGGCTCTCCTGCAGACTGTCCTCTGAACCGGCAACTTCTCCAGGAGCCTTATTATCGAGCCCCCATGCGACTATATAAGGGCCCTCCAGCGGGGAGACCGGTATGTAGAGGCCGAGGTAGTAGAAAGGTCCCATCGGAACAAGGAAGATGACAGAAACAACCGAGGGCCGGGGGCTCCATTTCATCAATCCAAGGGACCAGCCCCCTCGGGTGATTGCCCCCGGCATGGCCAAGCCAAACCCGGGGGAGGTTACAAAAACAACCCGAAGGCTTGGGCACAGCCCATCCTCCTGGAACACCCTCGGACGCCTTTAACGCATCCCGTCAGCGTCATCCTTGACTTCGCCGAAGAGAGGGGCCTCGTGGAACGCGACTCCCGCGCTCCCTTGGAGGTATATGCTGTCGACCCCAATGAACCGTACTGTCGCTTTCATTGTAATCAAGGGCACAGGACCGATGACTGCCATCGGCTGAAGATGGCCATCGAGAGGTTAATACAGGCGGGCCATCTGTCCCAGTTTGTCTGAAACCCTCAGTGCCAAGGGCCCCCACGAGGGCCACCGGTGATGGAAAATGCCTGGGTCAACCCGAACACCATCCCCCTCCGTGATCCCAAGGGTAAGAAAAGGGAGATCGGAAATCTTGAAGAAAAGGAGGAGGAACACCACCACTACTAGGAGAAGAAACGCCATATCCTCATGATCACCGGCGGCAACATAGGGGGAGACTCCACGAGCCAGAGGAAGAAGTGGGCACAATCACTTTATGTGGGGGAAGTCACTCATATGCCCCCCGTAAAGCGATTGAGGGAGGAACCCATCATCTTCACAACCGCCGATCTCCCCCCGGTTTCCTCTCCCCACAGGGATGCGCTGGTAATACAAAGCGAGATCAACAACACCATCATCCACCGGACTTACGTTGACACGGGCAGCTCCATCAAGGTAATGTACCTTAGCACGTTCAAGGAGCTACATCTGGAGAGGGAGTCCCTTCGCTCCATCCGGACCCCTCTGTCTGGCTTCACCGGAGACACCATAGACTCCGAGGGAGTGGTGACCCTCCCGGTATTCTTTGGCGACGGGCTCCATAGGGCCAAGCTCGAAGTGGAGTTCGTCGTCGTCAACATCGACTGCGCCCACAACATCATCCTTGGCCGCCCCGCCGTCGAGGACCTGGAGGCTATCATCTCCATGAGACACCTATGCCTTAAGTTCCCAACCGAGGGGGGCATCGGGTACTCAAGGGGGAACCAGAAGCTCGTATGTGCCTGCTACCTTCAAATAACGAAAAAGGTTATCAAGATTGAGTTCCGTGTTGACACCATCACCAGAACTGTTGAGGAAGAAGAGAAGAGGCCGAGGGCTGAACCAGCCGAGGAGGTAGAAAACTTTGCGCTCGATCCGGCCAAGCCGGAGAGAGTCATGAAGATTGGAGCCAAGCACCCTGAAGATTTGAAGACCGGCATCACGGATGCCCTCCGCGCATACTCCATTGTTTTTGCATGGGGGCCGGAAGACATGCCGAGAATTAGCCAAAGGGTCATCACTCACCGCCTGTCAGTGGACCCTTCCTCCAAACCTGTGCAACAAAGAAGAAGACCCCTCTCGGCCGAGAGAAGGGATTTTGTGAAGAGGGAGGTCAGCATGCTCCTCTCCCTCAAACACATCAAGGAGGTGAAATACCCCTCATGGCTGGCCAACGTGGTCCTCGCGCAGAAGCCGCCCACCTTCCGCATGTGCGTGGACTACACCGATTTGAATAAAGCATGCCCAATGGACCCTTTCCCTCTACCAAACTGATGGTCCCGGATAGGGTAAAAGTCTAGAGGGGGGGGGTGAATAGACTTTTAAATCTTTTTTGACTTTTGGAAGTTTTCCCTCTAAAAGAGTTA